TATCCTTCCCAAAAACAGAACCCCAGCCGACAAGCGGGCACGCAAGCCAAGGCGCCCACGTGCCTCGCCATCATGTTCGGCACACCTTTTGATGAATTGGGCACGCCTTTTGATGGCACGCCTTTTGATAAAATTGGGCACGCCTTTTGAGGGTGCAACTTTTCCATCGGTCCGACATGACCCTATAAACTGTCCCGACATTTGATTCCGGTTAGCTTTTTCAACGGTCCGACAAGACCCCATAAACTGTCCCGACATTGATTCCGGTTAGCATACAGTGTCCTCTACAATGTTATGACACCACCATTCAGTGTCCTCTACACCGTTATGACACCCCCTTCAGTGTCCTCTACACCGTTATGGCACCACCATCCAGTGTCCTCTACCACGTTATGGCACCACCTTTCAGTGTCTTCACCAACGGTCTGACACGACCATACAGTGTCTCCTATCTTTTTTTTTTATTTCTATGTATTTTCTTGTTTATTTTTATGTATTTTCTTGTTTTGTTTCAAGTTGGTTAGTTCCTATCCTCCTTGAGTTTGCGGGGGGCTGTTAAAATTTACTACATCACCTACCACACACTCACCTACCACCACCATTTACCTCCACCTACTACATCACCTACCACCTACACCTACTACCACATTTTCTTCTATATATAGGAATTGTAAATAACAGATCAATATCAATCAATAAATCAATAATACAATTCTCTATTTTGCTATACATAATTTTTAACAGTGATTTTGCAGTAATCTTATCTGACATTGCAAGGACGATTGGTAGTGGTTATGGGGATCGAGGCTCGTTTGGAGAAGAAATCCTCCATCAGATCTCTCAGCCAAACTTTGCGACTAAGAAACAACAGAAGAAATTCTCCATCAGACCTCTATTTGATCGATCCATTATAGCAACTTCTTTTGCATATAAATATACACATACGAGTATAAGCAATAATGGCGAGTGTCGGTGAGGAAGACAACGACGCCGTTTTGAGCGACATTGAGGCCGACGATCTGGTGCCAATTTCCATCAAGTCGCCGGAGGATTTGACAGAAGGGCTTACTGGCGAAGTTCGGCGATTGGTAGAGAGAGAAAGGCAGCGGCGACGCGAGAGAGAGAGAATCGCCAAATCGGCATCCTCCGTCGTCACTCCCGGTGGACTACTGTATGGGTGAGGCCATCGATGTACTGAAACTATGATGAGTGAATCGTGTACTCCCAATGTGTTCCACAGCTTGACTGATCGATCTTTGGAGGTTGAAACGATTTGACGATTGTCAATTGAGAAAGCGACGGAGATGATATCTTTGGTGTGGCTGACAAAATGGCGAGCGGTGGTGTCAGTGCCGAGGTCCCAGAGACGGAGCTCGCGTTCACCGACGAAGTGAGAATGGCCGGTGAACGTCGCATCACCTTTATTATGAGGGGGTTTTGACCAAATCCCCAAAACCAAATCCCCCAAAAGGCTTGTGGATTGAGAGAAATTAATAAATGTTAAGTTTTTTTTTTTAAATCAAAAAATTTAAAAATTAAGATTGGGATATCGGAACTCTCATAAAGTTTGTGGGTTAGAAACCCCATTTTCTTTATATATAGATATAGATATAGAAAGCTCGCTTTTTAGCTTTTCGTGGCTTTTTTGTGTAAAAAAATAGAGAGATAGCGTGACTCAAAAAAGTTAAAAAGTTAGTTTTTACCAACTTGCCAAAACACCGCATAATAGTTAATTAGATTGGATTTGATTGGGTGTTAAATAAGTGAGTGAGTACTAGTAGTGGCGTTTGTTTCATGAGATTGAGGTGTAAAATTGGATTTTATATTTAATAAATTTATAAATTCATCATTTGATTAGTTTAGTAAAGACTGGCTAATAATTAAATACACATAATTTCTAATTAAATAGTTTAGGAATTATTTATTTAGAACTAACAATTTATTGTATTATAATACATACTCTTTTGTCTATGTGTACATATTTAATAAAAGATAATTTTAATGATAATTTTATCATGAAGCAAAATGACCATAACTGACATTAATACACATTAAATATGAAATTCAAGTTTTATTTGTACACATCTTTTAAAAACAACAAATCTCAATATATATCTTTTGAAAAATACAAAACTAAAACTTTAGTGCCTCCATTATTTCCCACTTCTTCTATTGTTCTCAATTGCTTGTTGCACTACATTGTTACACTCTATTATCCTCCTTTGCTTACATAAAATATTCTGCATCACTCTCTAGGTTCATATTCCATTATTTATACCCTTCTTTTTTTCTATTAAAATCGACCATCTTTCTTGATTTCTACTGATGGAAGATTTGCGAAGCAATCAGTGTGTTTGATTTCAGTTTTCTAAATTTAGTTTTTTGAAAACTAAGTTTTTTATTTTTTGTATTTTTTGTTTTTAGTGAATATTTTTAAAATTTTAAGTGAATATTTTTAGTGAATATTTTTAACTGAGACACCGCATCACCTTTATTTTTCGATAAATAAAGACTAATGTCTACAAGTGTTCTAGCTACATTCATATCATCCTTGACAAATTTATCAAGAATCTTCTCAATATAATGTGATTGAGATAATGCATATTCGTCAGATGTTTTAGTAATTTTCATTTCTAATATTACATCTGTAACACACATATCTTTCATATCAAATATTCTATTTAGCATTTGCTTTATTGATTTGATCATATTTTGACTGCTTCCACACAAAGACAAACTATGACATATCCTTGGTCAATGTTTTTAACATAGATGCACTTGTCACATTCGTTTATCTTAAACCCATTAGTAAGCATAGCATGATTAAATTTTTCATGCCATTGCTTAGGTACTTGTTTTAATCCATAAAGAGATTTTACAAGCCGACAAATTTCTTGCCCTGGCACTACAACCCCTTCAGGTTGCTCCATATAGATCTCTTTATTTAGATCATCGTTTAAGAAAGTTGTCTTAACATCCATTTGATGTATTTCTAAATTATACAATGCTGTAATAGCAATAAGCATGCGAATGAATGTTATTCTTGTCACATGGGAATATGTGTCAAAATAGTCCAGACCTTCTTTTTATCTGTAGCCTTTTACCACAAGTATTGCGTTATACTTGTCTATTGAACCATCTGCTTTCATTTTTCTCTTGAATATCCACTTATATCCAAGAGGTTTAGAACCAGGTGGAAGATCCACCAATTCCCAAGTATGATTTTGCATAATGGATTCAATTTTATTATTAACAGCCTCTTTCCACAAAGGTGCTTTAGGACCTATTATTATTTCCTTAAAGTTTCGAGGTTCATTTTCTAACAGGTATGTCAGAATATCTAGACCAAAGGATTTTGATGTTCTTGCTCTCTTACTTTGTCTTGGTTCATCATCAATTAAATCATGTTGGTTGAGACCATTACTAGTCTCTTGTGTTTGATTGTCATTAGTCTCTTGACTTTGTGTACAATCATAAGTTATTTTCTGTGAACTTAATTCCTGTCCTTTCTAGTAAAGAAAGACATGTTCAAAAAACACAGCATTCCTTGACTTTATAATAGTGTTCACATTTATATCAAGTATTTTGATTTATAGGTCAGAAACCGATATGTACTGCTATTCTGAGCATAACCAATAAACACACAATCCACTATTTTTGGTCCTATCTTAGTCTTTTTAGGTATAGGAACTTCTACTTTTTCAAACACCCCCACACTTTTAAGTATTTGTAGGAAGGTGGTCGACCTTTCTGTAATTCATAAGGAGTGCTGTTGGTTTTCTTATGGGGTATTCTGTTAAGAGCATAATTAGCACACAATATTGCTTCCCCCCACAAGTTCTACGGTAAGCCTGAACTTAGTAACATGACATTCATCATTTCTTTAAAGGTTCTATTCTTTCTTTCAACAATTCTATTTTGTTGTGGAGAATAAGATGCTGTAGTTTGGTGAATAATGCCATGTTATGCATACAATTCATTTAATGGTGCATCATATTCACCATCCCTATCACTTCTAACCATTTTAATGATTTTTCCAAGTTGATTTTTAACTTCAGTTTTGTAGAGTTTAAACATTTCTAAGGCTTCATCTTTGCTTCTAAGTAAGTATACATAACAATATCTTGTGCAATCATCGATAAATGTTATGAAATACTTTTTGCCTCATCTAGTTTGAACAAATTTAAGATCACATACATCTGTATGAATTAATTCTAGAGGTTCAGTTTTTCTTTCAACCGATTTAAGTGGAGCCTTAGTTAGTTTCGCTTCTACATAAATCTCACATTTCCGATTATGATCAATTTCAAACTTTGGTATAAAATCCAAACCAATTAATCTACGCAAAGCATCAAAATTTACATATCCTAATCTACCATGCCATAAATTCGACTCAAGAATATAAGCAAAAGATGTGTTATTCTCATTAATAGTAAGTTTTGGTACAACCGTCATTATATTCAACTTGAAGAGACCATCACTCATGTATCCCTTACCAACATACATACCACTCTTTGTTAATACAAATTTATCAGACTCAAATACAAGCCTAAAACCATTTTTACTTAACAAAGATCCAGAAACTAAATTCTTTCGGATGTCTGGTACATGCAGTACGTTGTTGAGGGTAAGTTCCTTCCCTGATGTCATTTTCAAGATCATTTTTCCTTGTCCAGCCACAGTAGAAGTAAAAGAATTTCCCATGAAAAGTTGTTCACCATTTGCAGCCTCATTGTAGGTAGTGAACATCTTCTTGTCCGCACAAACGTGACGAGTTGCTCCAGTGTCAATCCACCATTCCTTGGGATTTCCAACCAAATTAGCCTCAGACACCACAGCAGAGAGATTGATGTCATTTACCTCGTCAGAGATGTAATCTAATTCTGTCACATTGGCCTCATTGGTGGTTTTCTTCCTTGTACTTCCGCGATCCTTCTTAGGGCAGCAACAATCAGAAACTCGATGTTCGGTCTTGCCACAATTATAGCATTTACGTTTGAACTGTTTATTGTCATTGTTGTCGCCTTGTTTAGGACCATCTCTAGTAAACTTCATCTTTTTCTTATGTGGTTTGTGCACTTGTTCAACCACATTAACCTTAGACTAAATGGGATTTTTACCATTCCTTTTTTAAACCTTTTGGTTATCTTCCTCAATTCTCAATGTTACAATAAATTCATCCATGGTCATCTCCTTGCGTTTATGGTTTAAATAATTTTTGAAATCTTTCCAAGCCGGTGGTAACTTTTCCACTAAAGCAGTGACTTAGAAAGACTCGCTAAGAGACATACTTTCAGAATGAATATCATGCAAACTTAATTAAAAATTTTGAACTTGAGAAATTACCGTTTGGGAGTCTCTCGTAACGAAATCCAGAAATTTATCGACAACAAATTTCTTTGTGTTGGCATCCTCTGTCTCGTATTTTTTCTCCAAAGAATCCCACAATTCTTTTGCTGTTTTTAAAGGGCTATAAACATTATACAGCATGTTGTCAAGGCCATTGAGGATGTAGTTTCTACACAGGAAATCAGAATACTTCCAAGCGTCTATAGCGGCAACAACTTGCCAATATCTTTCATCTTTTCTAAGTACTAGAGCCTCTTCACGAAGAAACCAGGCCAAATTTAGAGTTGTAAGATAGAACAATATTTTCTGCTGCCATCTCTTAAACTTAGTGCAATTAATTTTTTTTGATTTTTCTCCATGATTTATCGGAACTTGAACATAGTTATGGATAGGGACCGGAGTCATTGCAACGTTCGGATTTAGAGTACTACTTTCAGCAGCCATAATATCTGATTACAAAAATCAGAAAAAATCAAAACACAAATTAATTTTCTAGTTACTAAAACCAGAAAATAAAATATAACACAAAATAATTTTATTTTCCTTGTTACTAAAACTAGAAAAATAAAATACCATAATAGTTTTCTGTAACACAAATTAATATTTTGCAATTGTTAATGACACCAGTATATTATTACTAGTTGTCAAAGAAAATAAATAGTATATTACTACTATTTATCAAACAGTATATTACTACTATTTGTATTTTTCAACAAGAATATCACTTTGTGAAAGTAAAGAAAAATAAATACAATGAAGACACCAAAAATTAATCTGTCTTAAGATTGTTGAACAATCTTCATTGTATTTAATGAAATAAATAAATTTTGTTTGTGTACTTAACAACAAATGGAATACAAAAGAAATAAAGGATAGGTGAGAGTTTGTTTGATTACAAAAATCAAACCATAAAATAAAATAAAATAAAATATATAAAACAGATTTTTATTTTGTTACAAAAACAAAATGAAAAATCTGAAACAGAAAAATAATAAAACAGAAAATAAATTAAGTACTTACCAAATTAATTTCTTGAACAAATTTCATGATCGAGTCCAGTGTTTAACACTGTGTCCTTAAGACAGATTCATTGTCTCTACGGTGCTTTCAGATTGTGGACGTC